GGTGGGTACCTTTGATGAACATACCCTAATCCAGAGAGTAAATTATCGAAACAGCTTCCCTTAAGCCCTGGCATGGCAAGGCAGTGTGGCTACAAAAGCATAGGTAATCAATGCGCAGTTTCTGGTTTACCCAATGAATGCTCAGCTGCATTGTCGAGGTGAAATTGTCCAATTTTGTTTGGTTCTCCTTTTTACAAATGCAACTGAACAGTCCCAATCAACCTCCTGTGAGCTTTAGATAGAGACACTGGGCAGTCGTGAGCAGGGTGGCATGAAACGTAAGAAAGAAATGAAAGATTAGAAATTTCAGTAAAATATTTCATGAAATTTCACGAGGCTGTGAAATATTTCATATTATTCAGGGGCTAGAGTATGCAACCCGCACCCAAACACACAAAAATAGAGGGGAGTCATTTACTTTTTGCAAAACATGAGAAGGAACCGGTATTTTTCAATATCTTTCGTACACTTCTGAAATTTCAAAATTTTATTTTTCATGAAATTTTGCCACCCTGGTCATGAGTAAACCCACGAGTCGTTGGGCAATTCAAACTGAGTCCAACAACACTGACCTTTTTGAAGCGAGTACTTAATTCTGTTTCCGAGCGGCCCCAAACAGTTTACTTACTTCGACAATACAGCTTGTGTTAAAATTTGATGTAAGACTGAAAAATTCATCACAGGGGGAAATCTCATTTGGACACATACTTTCTCATGAAGAGATATACAGGGTTATTCAAAAGTCACGCACCACTGGCTATGAGAGGGGTGGCCATTTGAAATTTTTGAGTTGCCACCGCCCCCTCCCCCCCCCCCCCCCCCCCCTCGGGGGGGATCAAAAACTGGAAAGTACCTAAAAGAGTTTCACCCTCGATATGAGGAAAAATGTCTTAAGCCGCAAGTCGATATCATAATTAGAACTAAAGTTATGGCCAGTGGTGCATGACTTTTGAATAACCGTGTACTTTAAATGATACCCCGAGTTGGTGAGCAGAAAATCAGGAGGCTGTGCTGTGCTCGATGGGATCAGAGGGAAAACAAGAGCAGCAATTTAATTTGCGGGCCGAGTGGCACCCTAAGTACACTTTAATGGGTCATCTCTGATTGGCTTATCTGTCTGGTGCTCACTAAGTGGGACTCTTACACGAAATAACACGGGGTTCAAAGATTTAGACCTACGTACATTGGATATTTCAAAAATTGTTTATACAGATCCCTGATTGTTGAAATTTTTGCCGGCACAACAAAAATCGAAAATCAATATAATACACCGCCCAGATTTGGCTGTCTTGTCTTATCTTGCTAACAGAGCCAGTTACAGTTTCAACAACGGGGCTGCAGATTTTTTTAAAGAGATAAATGGGTAATATATGACACTTTTTTCTCAAACACACTGCACAGATCAACCAGGAATTATGTAATTTCATGACACCAAGCGTCATATTTCAAGTTGTAATAGTTCAAATTAAAAAAAAAAAAAATTCCCAGGTCGAACTGTTCCGTGTCAAACATGTCAGAGTCTAAGAAAGTGTCAAGTATTTCCCATTAATCTTTTTAGAAAAATCTGGGAAATTGATTCCTGAGATCACCGACAAGTAAATTTTTCTTTGTTCTCAAGATATTTCCAATGAAAAATGGACCCCGTGTTATTTTCAATAAGGGCCTCAAAAAGTGGGCACCAGGTAGATCTGCCAATCAGAGACCACTTGTAGAGGAAGGGAGAGCAACTCGGCCCACAATTCAAATTACTGCTCTTGTTCTCTTTGAATACCTGTAATACTTCCACAGATACCTCCCTGACTGGTCATAGCCAAAGCTGCACCAAACATAATATCTCTACAAGAAAAATTTTCTGCGTGAATGAGCTGTTCTCAGCTGGAATGAAAATATCAGTTTCGTACTGGACCAACTATGGCTCTGAGTCCTGCGTCAAAAACAATCCTGCAGCCTGATGGTTGAAATTTATGTTGGCACTACAACGATTGAAAATCTAAATATTGAACGGCGCAAACTGGGTTATTTCATATCCTGCCGACAAAGTTACTTGCCAGTTACAGTTTCAACAAACTGCTGCTGCTGTTTGTGGTAGAGGTGTCGTCAGCTAAGTTGACGGTTGTTTACTTTCGGTTTGCAAGCGCCAACTACGAATTTGGTCCTCTGAACAAAGCGGCGTTTGCTACTATCCACATCGAAAACATCAGTCTCATGATTGTATCATAAAAAAACTACTTATCAGTTATGATTTGAGACTTTTTTGTGGTTGTGATTTCTGTGTGGCTAAAAATTAAAGTGTTACAAGGTTTGAAAGTATTAAAAAACTTATCTAAGCTTGTGCTCTTGCTTCTGAGGGAGCCAGATGTTTTCATGTGGATAGTAGTGACGCGAAATCGCCTGCAAACCAAAAAAGTGAACAACCGTCAACTTAGCTGACACCACCTCTACCTATCTGAAAAGGAATAGGAGGGTGAGGGTACCAAGGAAAGGACTTATTCAGAAGCAGCATATGGTCCAAAATAAACTAGTATGCTCGAGGGAGTAGTGCTGAGCTTGCAAATTACGAACCGAATAGGCTAAAGGGTATTACCATCAGTCTTCTGTGCACCGGAACACGAAATTACGCGAAAACTTTTCAATATGAAATGAGCCAAGTCTGTCAAGGAGAACTCCCTGCAACATATGAACCTATGTGCTTCCTGGGCAATTACATTCTTGACTTTAGGTGATGAAACGACAGTGAATACAAGAAACCGGCACTAATTCGTAGATTTCTCAGCTATTCCTCCGACGAAATTCCGTGAGCGAAGAAAATTTTCCACAAGAACCAGTAATGTTTACATGACACTTTAGAGGAGGGCTACTTCCAAAGCTACTTCCCAAAACAAAACGGTATTTTACAAAATACCAGGGACCAGTTCTATAGGACCCTGGACTCCCGTAAGAGTCAATGTAAAAATTCGTGAGCAGGTACTAGTGCTGCTATCTCGCGTAGGATCCTCGCAACTCACTGCTGTTATCAGTTGTTGGACTTCATTAAAATCCGTAGGATCGCGTATAACTGCAAAAAATCGAATTTTTCCCTAAACTCTTACATGCAGCGGGCCTCTACCTGATCGTAAGGGGTCGAAAAACGCCAAAAATATACTTATTTTTCAAGAATTCAGCCGCCTTATGTGTTATTTTTCAATCTCCGGCTTAACCTCACTTTTGGAGCGGGCGATGGATGAGTCGAGGTTCGGGGGGAAGGATCCTCTGAGTTGACTAGGATCCTACGCGAGAATGCGCTGCAATCACCCGCTCACAACAGAACGGCGTCCTATAGAACTCGTCCCTGATAGAAATGAAGTACCTATAGAGAGCTAACACCATACACAAACAAATGTTTCCCCGAGACAACCATAGGAGCGCTAGCGTCGCTTTGTTCACTGTGCCCCGGTGGCCACTGTGCCCCGGTCTCCCCTAGTTGTATCAATAACTTACGCAAAAGTAATAAATAATGCAAAGAAAAGCGGATTAACAGACGCACGGACTGCGCCGGGCGAGCGTACGGACATTAAATAAAATGACTGAATTTTGATAAGAATACAATATAATTAATGCAAAAAGTATCTAATTTGTTCCCGGACGATACCCGGCTTTCATACTAAACATAATTGTATCAATAACTTACGCAAAAGTAATAAATATTGCAAAGAAATGCGGATAAACAGACGGACGGACAGAGCCGGGCGAGCGTACGGACAAAATAAGATAGGGAAAAATTTTCCCATAAGGTTTTTGTCCGTACGCTGTCCGCGCGGGTAGAGTCCCTTTATGCTGAGAGTCAAGACAATTCGGCTCATGGATGTCACAAACGGGAATAAAGATTATACAGAAATTGAACGTTTTTCGTAATCTTTGATCGGCCCATTCTCAAATGCCTTTCTCCGTTCCCTCCGTTCCTCCTCTCATTTCGTTTGTTCCTTGCCGAACCCGTAATTCCCTGGTCCATTCCAGATTATAATCTTTGCAATTGGTGAAAATGTAATCTTTATTCCCGTTTGTGACACTGTGGAGGCCTAAAATACGGGAACCAATCAGAAATGGATTCAAATTGTTTTGACTCTCAGTATAAAGGGACTCTCGCGTGTAACTGCAAAAAATCGAATTTTTCGCCCTTCATATTATTGCAGCGAGACCAGCATCGACGAAAGGGGTCGAAAAACGCAAAAAATATACTTATTTTTCAAGAATTCGGCCGCCTTATGTGCAGAGTTAAGAAATTTCATGAAAGATTATAAAAAGAAATTTCATAATGAAATTTCATGAAGTTCCATGAAACGTGAAATTTAATTTAACACGCAGAATTCAGGATTAAACCCTTGAAACTTATGAATCTCCTTAAGTTCATTTATAGGCACGTGGTAAACTGTGAACGGGAACTTTAGAAATGCCCAGAAAGTTGAGTAAAACAGAAAAAACATAATTTTGAATTTTTTTTCTTAAATTTTGGTTGAACACACAGCGCACAGCCGTACCAGTTGAACACCAAAATAAAGAGCCTCCCTTAAAAAGGGCCTTTTTTGGCCCCTTTTCGGGAACCCGGGGATTTCGTTCGTTTGTGGCTTAAATGAAACCTTATGATGAGGTAAGCCTCCAGTAAAAATTTTAGCTTGAGTATACGTCTAGTTTTCGAGATACAGCGTTGCAAAGTTGGCATATTTGAGCTTTAAAATTCTCATATTCTCAGGTATCTTATTTTCTGAGAACGATTCAATTGGATGTTTTATGATATTTTGTAAAATTTTATCAAATGTTAGTATTATTATCGAATGCATATTTCTATTGAAAAATTAATACTACTAATTCTGTTAAAACAACGTTGCAAAGTTGACATAAAAACCTATTAAAAATGTTCATTTTATCAAGTTTCTTAACTTAAAAACGAACTTAGTGACCGCTAAAAGATATGTTTTAGGGGTTTAGATGAAATTTCATGATAGATTAAGGCTTTTGTTAAAATTTAACTCAAAATGCAAGTATAGTTTTAACGATACAGGGTTGCAAAGTTTATATATTTGAGTTTTAAAAATGTCTATATTTTTGAGTTCTGTGTTTAAGAAGCTACTTTCGTAGAATTTAATCACGATTTAAGGCAGGAAATCAACCATTTATGTCATCTGTAGATCAATGTTTGTATTTGAAGAAGAATACTTTAATCGGTGGTGATACAGCGTTGTCAATGCTTAAAACTTTGAACTCTGCATGGATTATGATTTTTTCTTGTTGAACACGACTTCAATGGGTTTATTTTGGGGCATCTGGATCAAAGATATGTTTTCAACATGCTCTATACATATACGAGCTTGACATGATTGGCACTGCCAAGACACTGCACCGTTGCGTATTGAGAATATACTTTTTTCCAGATATATTTCACTGGGAGATGGATGTATTTTTTATCAGAATGGAGGGGTCAGCGAATTCTACCAAGAATTTACATCCAGTGCCGAGA